TTTATTTTTTCTGTCTATAAATGAGGCAATAAGAATATTTGTCTTGATGCCAAAAAGGTCCCAACAGATTTTGCTTTCACAAGTGGAGCAGTACGGCTATCGCCATAGTGAAGCTTGGAGCTCCGCCCACCAGCTCCACCAATCAGCAACCAGAGTCCACTTTGACATCCTGCTCAGTTTGAAGCTGCTGCTAAAAGATTTCCTGATTAGTCAAACCGATTGTACAAAAGTTAATTCCTGTTCATGAAAATTCCTACCTTCCCAAAGTTCTTAAACGCAGCACATGCATAGCACCCAGTCCGCAGTAGGCGGCGGTTTAATGATCTGCATCGTGTGCGTCCATAGAGCCGTGTGCTAACCCCCTATGCCTACATTGTTAGCTTAGCGGTAGTTTGCTGCCGTTTTTTTATTGTGTATTTTATGGTCAACAGTTAGCTAAAGTGAGTGATTTGTTTTTAGCTGCTAACTAGCTGTAGGCTAGTTTTATGTTGCAGTATTGCTAATCCCTGTTGATTATACATTGCATGCTGAATGCTGGTGTGATATTTGAGCCTTTGAGTTTATTTTATTGTTTGTATTTCAGAAAGCACAAACAGACCCTAACAGATCCTTAAATGCAGATAAATCAATTAAACCTGATTAAAGGAGTCTGCCTCTTCTTACTGCAAACACCTGAACATCTCTAAGGTGTCCTGATCCGACACCCTGAACTGATGGTTGCCACCTAAGTTCCATATACAGTCAGTCTATCATACACCGATGCTAAAGTAGAACTTCACATGAAGCTTCTTGCAGGGTTCCTACAGCGTAAGGCGAATTAAATTCAAGACTTCTTAAGACTTTTTAATGCCACTTGAAATAAACATTTAAGACCAAATTCACAAGAAACACAAGAAAAAACCTGCTTGTGACAACTTAACCCAAAGGTTTATTATAACATAAACCACTGCACTAATGTTTCAAATGTTGAAAAGCTTCCCATACAGGAAGAAAGCTAAAAACACACAAATGACAGATATATTTGAACAATTATTTAACTGAATTCACAAACTTTGTTTTAGCAGGGAACAAATCTAATCAGTTTTAAAGCCCCAACATAACCAGTGCTAAGTCTTTTTTTGATTTGGTTATAAGTGGAGGCGTTGCAGAGACAAGGGTGGAACTAAACTAAGAAACATCGGCTGTTTCTCTGTAACTCCATTCTGACGCTTTG